CCCGAACATTAGACTCGAAATAGAATCGTAAAATAATTCGATTTAAAAAAAAAAAAATTTTAATTTAAAAATGGTTGGCCAAAGGACTAAAATTTATCAAATGAGCAAATCGGAGCTCATTAGTGAATTAGAGAAGAAAGGACTTTCCACCGAAGGAAAAGTCCCAGAGTTAAAAAATAGATTATTAGAAGCTCTCAGTAACACAGGCTCCAAATCGAGTAAAATTAATACTCCGAGTCAAAGTAGTCGACCGAGTCGAACGGCGAGTATTGAGAGATCAGTAGGTGTTAATAAGAGTAGGCAATCAGATGGAGGGATTCCTGAAGATGCTGTGGCTACTCCAAGGAAACTGAGACGCGCATTGGGTAGAACTGCGAACGCGAGTGCTGATGAAAAGAATTTATCAACCCCGCGAAAAGACACAAAAGCACCACCGGAAATTGACCCAGAAGTCATTGTGCAATACGCTGATGAGAATGAGACCACGCCTATTAGAGTGCCTGGAGGTGGAAAAGCGAAGAAGATGGATGAAGAGTTCATTGATCCGAATGACATACGGATTAAGAACCTCATCCAGCAACATCGTTCACGTCATAATAAAGAGAAAACTGATAAGGAGAAGGAGTCGAGAGATCCAACTCAAGTCAGACACAGAGAAAATCGAGAACGTCACTCGAGGAGTCCGAGTGAGAGGGACTTTGGGGATGATTTAACAGGCATTTTCAAACATCCAGATGATATTGAGGACAGAGAGCAAGAAGAAGAAAATAGACTCTGGGAACAATACAAAAGACAGTTTGTTAACCGGAGGAGCTATCAACCTGATACTCGACAAAGTGGACAGAATAAAAGTCACGTAGATTTCACAACTGAAGAGTTGGAGATCATGCGAGAACTTGAAATTAAAAAGATTAGGGACAAGATTCGACGTGAAGAAGAAGGCCGTATGAGGGAAGCTAAGGTTCGAATGGAATATGAAGTGCGGACTGAACTCAGACGGGAATACGAAGAAGACCTCCGCAGGGAGAGACAAATGATATTGGAGGAAGAGCAAAGAAAATTCGAAAAGTATAAAGAGTATCAGAGGAAACTGGAAGAGGAAAAACTGAGTGGTGAGACAGAGCGTCTGAGGAAAAATTATCATGATGATGTTGAGTACAAAATGTCTGCTAAACCGCCAACACCAGCTCCTAGACGAAAATTACACTATTCTCCAGAGTACAGAGAAAGGAGTCGTGATAATTACAGGGAAAGAAGTCCGGAGAAGGATAGATTCAGGGAGAGATACACTTATGATCGACGTGATGATCGGGGATGGTATCGATCTGAGGATCGCGGGTCATACGGATGGGATGATGGGAAACATTTAAATCCGGTCGAATTAATCAGGAAATGGGGAATTACGTTTGACGGGGAGGAGAGTGTGCTTAATTATGTCGAGAGGGTGGAAGAGTTAAGTCTCTGCTCTGGAATCCATAAGGACAGACTACTTAAGTATATTCCGGTAATGTTTAAGGGTGTAGCACTGCTTTGGTTTAGGAATAATTTCAAGTTCTGGAGAACTTGGAATGAATTCATTATTGACTTGAAAAAGGCCTACTTGCCCAAAGATTTCGAATTTCGGATGGAAGAAGAAATCAATGCAAGGAAACAAAAGTCTGGGGAACGTATTCGTGTCTACGTCACTGAATTATTAACACTCATGAGACGTCATGGATCAATGTCTGAGGAGAAGCAATTGTACTTTTTGTATCGGAACTTGGCAGAACCGTACAAAATGTACATTAAAAAGACTGCTGCAGTCAGCATTGACGCCATACTCAAAGAAGGAACGGATTACGAGAATGACATTTTGAAATTGGATAAGGACAAACATCCAACACTGGAAATCCCATCAAAGAAGGAGAAAAAGAATCAGCCAAGAGAAGAGCACAATAATCAGGAGAAAGATAAGAAAAAGAAATCGGTAAATGCAGTTGCTGCAGAGGAAAAATATGTCAGTAGAGAACGTTGTTGGAAGTGCAGACAGAAACGACATGAGAATGGAGTGTGTAATAATCCACCAGTCAAGTTCTGCATGTTCTGTGGTATCCTGGGTAAGTGGACGACGGAATGTTCTTGTCCTAAACCTCGTTGGTGGACTGAGAGAAGACAAGCTGGAAGGGGTGCTGCTAGAAATAATCAGAATGCTGGTGCAGTGGTATCCAATTCTGCTCCTGTTTCTGGTCAGGCCTCAGCTACGTCTAATCAACAGGCACCAGTTGTGAATCAGAATGCTAATAGTCGTGTAAGTAACCCGGTACCAAGTGCTCCAGTACTTCCATGCAGTAGTTCAGCACCTGATCAGTTGATGAAGCTCGACGATAATAGACCTTAT